CTCCTCTCGAGATTCAAACCAAAGAGAGAAGAAGCTTCATTTCATTTCGCGTTTGTCATCTAATTTTTCAATCTGAAGAAATTGTACAGAGAGAGCATCATCACAAGATCGGCGATAATTTTAGGTTTTTTAGAAAATCTGTATCTCATGAAGCGGCGACGAAGATCGTCGGAGGAGGGAGATGGAAGTTAGATCGGAGACTACTCAGGCGAGAAGCGATAAGCTTCCGCCTCCGTCAGTTCCGAAGCCTCGTGTACAAGTTTGGTTCGTAAGAGTCTGTTCCAGCATTTTGGTTTGGACGTGTTTGGTTCAGCTTTTCGCCGCCGGTGAGCTTTGGCATACCCGGATCTTCACTGGTTTAACCAATCAGATTTCTAAATTCTCAGCCCCTGTCGAGCCGGTTCCATTGCCGCCTCCTCTTCCTCCCCCGAGTCAGTTTTTTTCTTTCTCTCTTCCTGGTTTATCTATTAGGGTTCTATTTCGTCTTCGTTTGGTGATTGAGAGTTTTAACGAGATTATCGATTTTTTGCAGGAAATTATACAAGCAATGGTATTCTACTTGTATCCTGTAATGGCGGACTGAATCAAATGCGATCCGCGGTTGGTTTTTTTGGCTTTAAATTGCTCTCTTTCGAAACTTTTTTCAGATTTGATGTTTTTCAATCCTGATGCATGTTGTTTTCCCCAGATTTGTGACATGGTGACCGTTGCTCGGCTATTAAACCTCACTCTTGTTGTTCCAGAGCTTGATAAAACATCTTTCTGGGCTGATCCAAGGTACTGTATTTTCGGTGTTTATATTATCTCTCACGTCTGATATGCCTAACAAGTTGAGCTCTTTAGGCAGTAATCTAAAGCATCCTTGGTTTTCGTTTGCAGTGGTTTTGAGGATATTTTTGATGTGAGACATTTCATTGATTCATTAAGAGATGAAGTTCGGATCTTAAGGAGGCTTCCAAAACGGTATAGAAGGAAGTATGGATATCAAATGTTCGAAATGCCTCCTGTGAGCTGGTCTGATGAAAAGTATTACTTGCAGCAGGTTTGTGCTGCTCGCAAATAGCAAGCATTTCCAGTTTCTTTGTTTCTTTTTGTGTGTGTTTGTTCTTGCTGATGAGCTTTTTTTGTCGACTCTAGCTTTATTTAACCTGTGATCTGCATATCTGATTGTCAAATTTCTTGTTCAGGTATTGCCCCTTTTCAGCAAACATAAAGTTGTACATTTCAATAGGACCGATACCCGTCTGGCAAACAATGGTCTTCCGCACGCACTCCAGTGGCTCAGGTGCAGGGTGAACTTCCAGGGACTAAAGTTCACTCCACAACTTGAGGCTTTGGGATCTAAGCTAGTCAGCATTCTACAACAAAGAGGGCCCTTTGTGGCTTTGCATCTGAGATATGAGATGGACATGTTAGCTTTCTCTGGTTGCACTCATGGCTGCTCTGAGGAAGAAGCCGAAGAACTCAAAAAGATGAGGTTCCCCTTCAAAAAAATCTGTCCTGAAATATTGATCTGCTTATAGGTCTTTTTCTTGTTGTTAATGCGTCCATTTTGTGTTCTTTAGGTACACATATCCCTGGTGGAGAGAGAAAGAGATAGTCTCAGAGGAGAGGAGGGCGCAAGGGCTGTGTCCGCTGACTCCAGAGGAGGTGGCATTGGTTCTAAAAGCATTGGGGTTTGAAAAAAATACACAGATATATATTGCAGCTGGTGAGATTTATGGGGGCGAGCATAGACTGTCCGTTCTAAGGGAAGCATTCCCAAGAATTGTGAGTCTACCAGTCCCCGTTTCCCTTCCCTTGTTACAACGAGTGGTCAATTGCATTTTCATTATGCACTGTTTTGCTCTCACGTGTGGTTATAGGTGAAGAAGGAAATGCTATTGGAGTCGACGGAGCTGCAACAGTTTCAGAACCATTCGTCTCAAATGGCTGCTCTAGATTTCATGGTATCTGTGGCCAGCAACACTTTTATTCCCACGTATGATGGAAACATGGCAAAAGTCGTGGAAGGTCATCGGAGGTAATAATAAAATTGAATCCATTCATTTTCATTACAACTGACAAGGTAGTGTGAAGAAAGCCATCCCTGTAATTCTTAACTTACTATGTTGAGTTTACAGGTTCCTCGGATTTAAGAAGACAATCCTGCTTGACCGCAAGAAACTTGTGGAGCTACTGGACTTGCATCACAACAAGACCCTTACGTGGGATCAGTTCACATTAGCCGTCAAGGGAGCCCATGAGAGACGAACAGGAGCACCTACACATCGAAGAGTAATCTCTGACAAACCCAAGGAGGAAGATTACTTCTACGCGAACCCTCAAGAATGTCTTTGTCAAGGTACAAATTGCCACGACCTGTTTGGCCATAGAAATTCCAGTTTAACACGTTGAAGCCATGTTTTTAGCATATTATCTCATTGTTTCTGCAAGAGGACGGGATGCAAAACACTTGGAACGGGAACCACATAGTTCCTTCCCTGAGTTTTTCCATTTTTGTTTGTAATTTTTTTTCAGTTTTCCTGCATAGTTGCTGATCTTGATTTATTTGTTTTACGTAAGTTAAGATGTAACTAAAAGAAGATGCTGTATCATCTTATAGAACTTCAAAAGGGCCGCTTTTGGCAATAGCCTAACATACAGATTGTTGTCTCTCAGTTCTTCTATCTCGAGCTCGATTCAACTCTATGCGGTCTGAGTTCAAACCAGTAAAGATTTTCTTTCTGGCAATGAGTTTGCTCTGCAGGATGAGCTATATACTTATTCTCACTCCCAAAAGATGATTTCGCCTTGCTCGCCAACCAAACCAAGATCTTTGAGCCGTCTCTCTTGGTAATACTCTAGCACATCAAGCTCAAGCTCTCTATCCTTGAAGATTTGGTCGATTTGCTGAAGCACCTTCTTCTCACCAATCCTTATCTTGAGAGCCATTTCCATCCTAGGCTCAAGCTTTCCTTCTTCCAAAAGCTTCTCATCCTGCCAGCGACGACAAAGATGAGCAAGAAATGAGTGCTAAGTAGCTGCAAAGACAGTACACGTAAGAGCTCGAACATATACACATACCTCTTCAATGGTGGTACTAAAACCAGACATAGCAGATTTGCAGGCATCTCTGACAACACGGCATATAAGTTCCTCGTTTGAACGACTTACAGGCAATTCAAGATGGCCCCATATGGTGTTTCTGAAGATAGATTCTAACAAGAAAGCATCTGAACCACTAAGAGCCACAAGCCGAATATACTGAAGCATGCCAGCGGGAAGAGTCTGGCCCTCTACTATGTCAAAGTATCCGGTCTCACTCATACCGTTCGTCTCGGCGATATCCAACTTATCCCCAAAGAATGGGTCTGATTCTGGTATCTCTATTGTTAAAGTATATGAGTTCCGGTTAGGGTTTGATTCCACAAAACCATAGTCCAGAGCAAGTTCTGCATTGCTTTTGTTCAGATCATACTGAATGTATACCTGTGGAAGAGATCAGTCATCCACACAAGCGTTAAAAGGGTTTATTCGTACACTCTCTTGCGGTGTAAAATAAGTGTAACAGTGTTTGAAAGCTTACCTGATCACCTGCTTTAACATAAACAGGTGATTTCAAGGAAAACAAGAGATCTCTAGAGAAAAGCCCAGCTCCTTTGATCTCATATGCATAATCTTCTGTAGTTATCGCGGGGTTATGGTTTATCTGTTCGAAATCAAACATTGTTATCAGAGATTCTTTGCTGAAATTTTAACTAAGAGACATTCTCTGAAACAAGAAGAGAACTGTCTTTTCTTTGGATAGTTCTTTTGCAGGTGCTTACCAAATCTGCAAGAGGGATCAAGACAAGGTTTTGGCCACGGAGTCGAGAAAAAGCCCTCGACCTGAGAATCCCAAATGCCCAGATGAAGTCATCGAGTGTTATCCGCGATGAGAATAGACCTTTGTTAGGCAGTAATATCTCTTCTTCCAGTTTCGTGAATTCGTTCTCCACATACTCTTTCACACCCAATGTATTACTCAATAGTTGAGTCCCTGAGCCAAACAACACAAACCAACCACCAAGTCAACAATGTTGTGCTTGGTTGCTTCCTGGTTCATCTACTAGTCTACTACTATTCCCAAACCATACAATAACATGGTTTGGGAAAAAGAAAAAGGTAAAAAGATTGAACCTTTGAGCTCAGCAAGCTCCTCTTCTGACCTGTACTGGAGACATTTCATCAGCCAAGTGTTAATAGCTAATAAAGAAGCTAATAGATAGAACTATGATGAATGATGATGAGACCCACCAGAAGATGGTAGAATCAGTAGATTCAGGAAGAATATCAAGATAAACTCTCCACGAAGAATCTTCTTCATACTTTTCTCTGATTAAGAACAGAGCAACCGAAACCCACGGCTTTAAATCGCCGCATAAAGGTCCGATTTTGGAAGACATTACAGTCTCTGGGTTAATCCACAATCGCTTGGGAATCTCCAATACGACCTCGTTTCTTCCGATATCGCGCCGGGCTACAAGTCCCAGACCTTCCGGTACCACTGCGGGTTCTGCAACAGACTTACCGGAGACGACTCCTTGGTCTCCGAGCCATTTCCAGAATTTTCCAACATATTCCGGCAATTCCGAGCTTGAAGCGGAAATAGAAATGGGTCTCACAGAAGATTTATTGGTTAGATTTCTCTGCCGATTAAAGAGAATGGAAGTTTTTTGTAGTGACGGAAGACGGAGAAAACCCGTCGCGACGGCGACGGAGGAAGCTGTCATGGTGGTCTTCCGTTGGCGGGTAGAGGAGTATCAGTGAATAGAGAGTGGATAATATATCCACAAACACACAAACAAAAAAACATAAAAAGTTTTCTACTTTAAGAACATAAAAGGCCCATTAGTGTAAAAGGCCAAGGCCTGCCTGCAATACTAACACATGGGCCGATTTTATCACACTGTAACTGTAGTAGTTTTTTTTATAAAAAATATATATTATGTGCTACACTCGGTTCTAGTAGGTTC